TTTTCATTTTTTACCAACACATAAAGGAATCTGCAGTAAAAAAATGTATCAAACTTGAACTCTGTTATAATAAACCGTGTAGAAATTTTGAACGGGTTCTGGTAAGGTTTAAGTCGGGAAGCCCCAAATCCGGTCGGGGCCACAAAATGAAGCACTATTTTAGTCCAATTAAAATCGAATAAAACCAGGGCCTATCTCCTATTGGGTTTCCTGCATCATCCAGATTGGCGAATTTCTGCCTGGGAAGTGCTAAAGTACAACTAAATATGTTCGATGACCTACAAATTTACCTTCACTCTAGTTTTGATGACTTAAATAATAATCTATCTTTGATTAATGAGGATGCTGGTGCCGTTTGTAATTGGACGAAATCTAATCATCATATGACAAACTTTAATAAAACTTATGTTTTGAAAATTGGTACGATAATTATTCTCATGGCTTTCCTTGAAAACATTAAAATATTCTATTCTATTCTAAATGAATATTTACTTGCAGCTATATTATCAATAAAGTTAAAAATATAAATCTTTATGCAATATTTCAAATGTGCAATTACATTAGAAAATCAGAATAATCCTAGATGAAATTTGAAATGGAGTAGATAAATGTTATAAGTCATGGGATTTGTGGTGAGCAATACATCGCCTTTAAAGCGTTAGGAATATAAGCCCTGGTGATTTGCCACACATAACATCGAGAGTCTCCGTACAGAGGGAGAGAGAAGAGACGACGGTGTTTGGTTTTCCTCAGTGGTTAGAGTTTCAATAGAGGATTTTTGGTTCTTGTGGTTTACCAGCCAGCTTAAACCCTTCAAACCACGACAAAAATGCTTGACCGGAATTTAATCAAAAAATACTAATCGTAACTTTCCACATCTCCATATATGTAATAAAATTTCGTTCTAACAGAAGTATAGTCTGAAAGTTCATTTTATCCAATCGTCATTTGTTCTAAACATTCTTCCTCCACGTTACTTAAAAATGTAAATAATAAAATTATATACCTGCAGCACTGTCAAAAGCAAATTTATTTAAATAGTTCAAGATATTTTTTAAAACTATCAAATTTGGTTTTGTCAACTGGATAGTTACACTCAATTGGGTACATCGCCGAAAGATAAGAATCAAACGGAGAGGAAATCTTTAAGATTGCAAGTAGTATTTCGAAACTATAAGATTTGAAGTACAGTGATCGCTATGCTCGACGAAATAGAGGAGACTTAGCACTAATGAGAGTCATTAGATATCAGAGAGCTTTGTGAAATTCCCTACAATAAATTGTTTCAGAAAATGAGGATAATCATTCACATTGCGGATTTGCTCCCAAGATCACATTTTTATCGAAAAAGCAATATGGGAATTTTAATTTTTAATAACATATCTATAAAATCAATCTGTTCAATTGCTTCCGAAAATAAAAATCATAATGCGAAACAATGTAGGTTTTTCTATAAGCGAGCCAATGGATTGTTTGGAATCCAAATGGGAATTATTTCCATTGATTTATAAATCAAGTCTCAATAACCAGAAAATCACGAACTTGGCGTGCGGAAAGCCTTCAGGGTCATGCCACTGGACTCGTAATCTCTATCGCGTCGTTCATACGACCGAAGTATAGTTTCGCGGAAACAAAAGGGATTTCATAGCCTGGATCTATTGAGCAATGAATGTGATGGAAATATCGCGAGAGAGTCATAAAAGTTGTGCGGAACTCATAAAACAAAAACTCAGTGGACAAACTATATTAACCGAAAAATCCATAATACTATTTCAGAACACTCATGACATCCAACAAATGAGAATTGTTAGATGTCAGGTATATTATACTATTACTAATTAAAAATATCTAACACAACACACTGACCCTTGGCATTAAAAACTTTACCAACTTAATTAAGCAGAATTTAGGACCGACCAACCAGACACTGAATGTAAAAAAAACTTGTCTATTTACGTCATCTGAGATAAAAATGACCATGACATTTTTACCTAAAGATGGAATCATAAATAATCTAGAGAACTGAATAGACTTGTCACTATAGTGATTGACGTAAATTTTATCATGATGTATGAAATATTAATATTTTAACGCAGAAAGTCAATTTCAATACATCTTTCAACTCTTAAGGCCTTCATGAAAACAAAAAATTACTATGAAAAAAAAACTATGATCTACGAAATTTAGGACAACTAGAATTTAGAAAGAAAACAAATACTGTATCATGATAATCATGTTCTATTGGATTCTAAACAATTTTTCCTACTTACTTCATTCAAAATTCAAATAGAAAAATACGACTAGAATTTTTAAAAAGCCCATTAGTCGTAATTTATTCTATAAAAACCAAAATAAATAACAATAGAACCAAAATCAATAATATAAATACAAGAGTTTATTAATGACGTAAAACGTATTGTATTTTTAGTTATTGATTGGCAGGTCTTCCAATATAACGTTAATTTAACTAATTATGTACCGTTTTCTCCAGTCATTTTGATAGATTTATAATTTCGACAGAAAGCGCAAAGATATTTCAATAAGAATTTTTTCAAAAATATAAACTAAAGCCATAGTAAAATTTTCTCTAAGGTAACTTAGAAAAATACTTTCGGAGTTTTTGTTTTAAAATTCAAAGTGATTTAAATATTTTCAAGGTAAATTCGATTGTATAAATAAATAACTTTTTTTTTGGCTGTGCTCGGGTGAGGTATTCTGTAGTTTTCCTCTCCCCTGGCCAACAGTCCAGGCAAAATCAGTAGATTGATATTTATTAATGTATTCACATAAGTGAATAGAAAATGAAAGGAGTAATTAAAAACAATTTGTTAAATAAATATTAAAATACAAAAGTCATTGGTTTCTAGTTAAATATCACTATAGTTAAAAGGTCATAGATGATCAAGAGTAATTATATTGTGGAACAATGCGCGTTGATAATCGAGAACCGTTTCCGGCTCGACAATTTGCACGAATAGACGAGACAAGGTCACGTTTACAATCATTTGAATCTGCATCTGCTAATTTATCCTAAACGCCTACACGAGAAAAGCCACGCGACCAGTTTCGATTTCAAGGTCGTTCGAACTCTATAAGAGAGAATGAGGAAAAGCCTCTGATAGAAACTCGCGGGTTTTCTCTTGCTTACCTTGTCGAGACTATGACAGATCAAGTGACGTCGAAGGAGGAGCAAACGTCAGCAAAATGCGGAAACGAAAAATAAAATTTCATTTCTTTGTTAAGAAACTTCAAGAGCAAGTCAGTCAGCAAATTTCTACATTGTATTATGCAAGGTTTAAAAAAGGGTACAAATATTTCCAAAATAATACATATTTTTTGTTTAATCTAATGGAAGTTTTAATTTAAAGTTTATGCCTAATTAAGGAATGTTTAAATAAAATAAAATTGATTTTTTTTAATACAAGCAAATTATTTCTTCAACAATTAAAGTTCAAGTGAAATATAAATAAAAAAATATTTACGATAAAAATTTATGAGTTTTTTGACTCAAACCATGATAAAAAAATTACATAATTTTGATCGTACATTATTAACAGTTATAAATATCAATTTTATTATATTAAATTGTAGTGAAGCAACAATTTTACAGATCAGGAAAGAAGATCCGATTTATGATGGATTATACAAGATTAAACACAAAGCATAAAGAGGTCAATTGTAACATCAATATTTTGACACAAGTGTATTCTATTATTTTGATCTAACGAGTTTATTGAGACAAGATGTTGCTCAATTATTTGGTAAAATGCTCGATTTAAAAAAAAATTTGTTTTTACATCCTTCTATAATTATAATTATTTATTATTAATCAAACAATGATATATGAAGACTAAAAGGTATTTTTCTTTGCAATGTAAAAAAATCAAGTTTTCCTTGAAAATGTTTTCTTAATTATGTTAAATAAATGTATTGCATTTATTGAATAGATTCTATAATGAAATGAACTTCAACCTCGTTTAATTTATAACAATCTTTATAGGGTTACTGCGAGATAAAAAAAAGTATATAAAAAGCTATTATTTCTTTAATGAAAGCGTCACTCTATTTTTTCCAAACATCAAAGAATTTTTATTAAATCAAGTTCTAACTTTTGAACACAAAAATATTTAAAATTTTTTAAACAAAATTACATTTTTTTAATTAAAATATTAATTGAGGGTCTGGATTCCATAAGATGTTACGCGTCAATTGTGGCAGATAAGTATTGTCAAATAGAGAAATTTTTTAAAGTATCAAAAGATATTGCCTACATTAATTTAAAAAAACTATTCACATTCATAACTATTATGAAATAAAAGTGACAATTCTCTAGAAACATTAAATGCATTATGGATGAACTAATTTACTTTCCAAGCATTAAATTATATTTAAAAATACTATGAAAAAATAAGGCTAGGATGGACTGTAAAAAATGTCGAGCAAAATTATTAATAAACATAAGGTGATAAAAAAATCAGCAAAAGAAAGTGAAAAACATTTATCAAGAATTACAAGAAGATACTTTCAGATCTTTTTTCAATTCTAAGGCACGTATTTACTTTAATCACTGGAAAATGAATTTTTTCTCAGGCAATTTGGAATTTTCATTTTATCATCCGGACATTATTTTATTTTTATCAAAAGGACGATCAAAAAATGTAACTTAAAATGTAAAAATTAAATTTGTTTGTGTTCAAAAGAAATACACATAAAGCCAATAGGAAATATATTCAATCTTCTTCTGTCAAACTTGTCAGCTGTTTCATGTCATAACAATAAAAATCCGATTTAACCAAAGCACATCTTTACTACTTTTTAAAAATGCGAAATAAATTACACTAGAAAATTTTTATAATAATGACATGTCAAGCTTTGTCAAGATCAAATTTATAAAAATAAAAAATGTCCGAAAATAAATCACAGGAAATGAGGTACTCGGTAAACAACGGGTGATAAAAAAATCTACATATATATGATTTAATCTACAGGAAAAAACAAACCTCGATTAGCGGGCAGAATTTTTCCTTGTGAATGAATCCTTGGAAATTTTCAAGCCTTCTTTCTATTGAATATTGTAAATTAATGTTGAATTTTCTTGACACTTTCCACACTGATTGCAGCAATCAATCCGTTTATCACAAGTATTTTTTAACTATTGCTCTGTCGCGTGGTCGCGCATCGGCGGACGGCAAACGGATGCAACTCTAGAAACTGACACACTGAAAATGGCAGCTCTCACTATTAATATAACGCTTGCGCACTGTATCAACAATGTGAATTTTCGCGGTTTTCCGGAATAGGATATTCGTTTTTTACATTAAAACCTAGAATCCTATTCCTAGAGCACGCGTGTTTGCTGTGACTTTTCCGAAAGCAATGAGAATTTCGAGATGATAAAGGAAGATAAAAAAATGTAAACACCAAAACGTATGCAGCGCAACTACGAATGAACCATTTCGTGAATAATACGATGTTATCATCAATCGCTTACTGCTTTCGAAAGTTCGTTACTCGATTCGATTATTTTTTAAATCACAAAGTAGGAAAGAATTTCATATTTCGCCAACAGATGTCAGTATACTTTTCAAGAGGGTGGGATTTTCCTTAAAATAATATTAAAAATGTTTATATAAAAAATATTCACAGAAGGGAATCACCACAAATTCATAAGCAATGATTAGGGAAAGAATAAAATAAAAAGAGAGACACTCTTTCTGATTAATTTATTAAGCATAGTAAAATTCGTGACACTTAAGCATGGTCCCAGACGCAACTGTACATTTAACGATGCCCTAACCTAACAGCATCCACATATTTATGATATCTTACGGATGTCCTAAGAATATCCGGAAGTTAAGATATCTATAGGATGTACCAGAGATATCCATAGATATCCTGAAGACGTCCTAATTTCTGAATACGAATAGAACGTCCACAGGATATTCTGTAATATCCGTTGCTGTTAGGGAGCCGGTTAAACGCGCGCACATCTCCTCTCTCACTCGCTATATGAGAGAAGGGTCGATACATCATGGAACTCTTGCTTACCATACTACGATATTTACTATTAACTTCTGCAGGAAGGATACATTTCATTTATGTTTACCATCAAATAAGTACTACAAAGGATAAGGCAGTTTACTGAAGTATTTCGAAGAGATAAATCAGAATTTAATCAATATTTTACAAGGTGTGAAAAAGAAAAAATGTTTGTTATTAAAAAAAAATAAATTAAACAATTAATTTTTTTAAATTTTTAATTGTTTTTTAATAACAAACGTTTTTTGTTCTTTTAAAAATTAAATCATACTTTGCATTGATTTTGTTCATGAGTTCATGACTTTAAAAATCACAAACATAACCTAAAATTTTTTTTGACTTAAGGTCCCTTCTTCCGTGGAGCCTGATCGGATTTTAATGCAACCCCGGGTCTAATTAGGAAATCCACATTTTCTCGTGGCGCTGATCTGTCCCTGATTGGGGCCAGATTATGATTCCCTACTAGAGCCCTGGTAGGGGAATTTCTACACGGGATAATAAAGTAAAATTTAATTAAATTAATTAATTATTAAAATAATTATATATTAAAAAATATAAAAAGAATGCTTTTTTCAGCTTCTTTATGGTTATTAATATTATACTATATTATACTATAATATTAATATATATTGTATAAATATATATATATATATTTATAAATATTTGGTCAATGCTGGGTCTAATATCGTGGTCTCTGATGCTGTTAAATCTTTATTTTACGTGACATTTTAGGATTTTGACTATAGCGAATGAGTGAAGCTGTTATTAGTTTTTTGTTCATCGGTGCATAATCGAACTGGAGAACCTCGAGGCCTTATAGACATAACAATAATGCTTGTAGCAAGTCCTCCCTCTCTTTTGCAGCCTCACCTTCTTTTTATGTACCTGCTCTCAATTTTTTTCCTTCATGATACACATGCCATTTAGCTTGAAAGATTGCATTTAATTACCTTTAATGTCACTTTCTTTATTTTTTTATTTATTTAGTTTATTCATTATTATTTTATATTTTTATATTTTATTTTACACAAAGTGTAAGTACTAAATTGAGATTGTTTTTAAAAATATAAAATAACGTGGGAAAGAAACATGATCATACTATCATTTCATTTCACGCATTTTTCTAATTAATCTCATGTCCTTTTCGAGAAGTGTGTAATCATTTGATATCAATTGTGATGACTAGAAGTCTTCATATGATTGCATTTCTAAGTAGCCAACGAAGCATTTAGAACACCTGTGATACGTACGAGACATTCAGTCTAGACAACAGTTTCTCTTCTCAGAAGCCATTTCAGTTTATTTGTGATTTTATATTTGTTCAATTAACGCAAACATTTAAAAATGTACACTTTAATTTTTCCAAAATTTATCTAATTTTTATTGGCCTAAATTTTTATGAATAAAAATTTTGTACGATTTTGTATTTCAATTAATATTAATTTTAATTGAAAACAATTGTTTACAAGGCATTTTTTTTGTATAGTATAATCATAACTGAGTAAAATTTATCTCTGATATCAGAAGGATAAAAATATAGGGGTTGAATTTGTATTCTCCCGAGGACAATCTCGATGTCTCCGACTTGGTGGCGTGACAGGGTGAACATCACACGAGTTTTCTAAGGGATATAGCGTGTAAAGTATCTTGTTTAGGGATCACAGGAGACATTTCGTCCCCCCAGGAGTCAGTGGTCGGTTCCACAAATGACCATCGCGAGACCCTCGCTTGTCTTGACGATTACGTCCCACACAAGCATCCAAGTCACTTTAGTATCTTCACCCTCCTCTATAGATCAACAGATAACCCGATTTATCGGCCTTGGAAAGACAAAAAAAATGCCTTACAACGTCATTCATTCATTCACGAATATTTATTAAACTGAGGAATTGATTTTTCTTTTAATTCCACAATATAATAAGGGCCGTATGAACATTTCCAAAATCATAATTATTTACAAGACCAAAAAAAATTACTGCCTTTCTGTATAATAATTTGGTCGACAATTTTTTTGACACTGTCTGTATACGTTGTACAACATATATTTTTTCACGAAAATCGGTTTAGCCAATTTGGAAAAAATCAAAATTATTTATTTATATTAGCCGAGGAGTTGGGGGGAGGGGAGTGGGTTTGTGTCGACATCGACCACTTTGACACCATTTTATATATAGTTTCATGCATTTATGTAGACATGGTTTATGGTGGACAACATGCGATAGTCTTTCCTGGACTGACTATCGTTTCTTTTACCCCTCGTTCATCCTGTCCACCCTCGATCTTTTGAGCCTTGTTAATAAGTTCGTTTTTCATTGTCTTCAGGACACGAACGTTGATTCCAGTCGGTGGAATTAGAATTACGAAAGGCACTAACGCGTGAGTCACGTGACAGTTCCATGGCTCATTAAATACCTTGTAATAAATAATAATATACACGTGTCGAAAGTTTCTTAATATTTTATATATATTTTGGTACCAAATACAGCCGTAGAAAAACAATTATTGGCATAGAGTAAATATATTTAAATAAACATAAACAATTATATTTTCAGTCACCGAAATCATCTTGATCAAAAACTTAACAACGATTTTTTGTGCCTGAGATTCAAGTATTAAGGTGGAATGAAAAAGGGATTTATATGTATTGAACATTCCCTTGCGTCATTTCCCAGCGATCGCGATCTGGACTAATAAGTAGCGTGAGTTCTTTTATCATCGAGAAAAGCAAAGCGTGCTCATTATTTCTGTTAGGTAAGGTTACACACGGTAATCGCTTCTGGACGATCGAACTTGTAAGCTCGACGCGTCGACGATCGCCGATTCGCAGCGACGACGAAGCTATATAGAGCTGAAGGAAGCCGATATTATAGGGCGAAAACGGTAAATGGCCCTAATAATGCGAAATCTCGGTGGTAATAAATATGAGTGGTCGCGATATCTCGCACTCGATCTAGGTGGCATGTCCAGAGCCTGCGTTGCCGCGTGTCTCGTGTGATACCGTTCGCGTATACACACGTTATATAGCTACTGAAAGTACTCACGTCAAGTATGTGCCGAGGCTTATCATACTTGGGACGCTATACGGTCTTCCTGCTCTTTATGCGATCACCTTATATATACGTATACTTACACCGTATTATAGATCTTGCATTTTCCTTTATGTGCATTAACTTTATTCCCTCCACATTTGGATATATATGTATATAGTATGTGACTTGATCATTTTTTTAACAACAAAAAATAAAATAATATTTTTATTGTTAGTCAATTTATCCTCGCAATTTCTATTCCAAGTTGTGAACAAGCGTCCATATTTAAAATATTAAAATATTTTCTTTAAAAAAACTTGTTTAAATTCAAATATTCAAAATAAATCTAATCATAAAAAAATTACAAAAGAATAAATACAGTAGTAAAATTAAAGTAAAATATACTACTGTGGAAAGTATTAATTGAATATAGACGATATAATTAAAAATTGATCAAAACAAGAAGTAAACATAAAATTTGTTTCATAAATAATTCTTGCAAGTGTGCGCCTACTAACGATGACCCTATAATTATATATATATGATATTTTTCTCTAATAATTTTGGGTGTGCTCTCTTCCCACGTCTCGACAAATATATATATACCTAACATGTGACAATTGTTTGCTCTTCATTGAATTTATAGACTAGCAAAGCCTCACCCTTCAACTTTTCTGATATTTAGATTATTTAATTACTCTTTATATACCCTATTAGATGGTAGTTATAAATTACGGAACTAAAATTTAATTAAGCAGCTAATGATATAAACAATAACCTGTATATATAAGTTCAGCATTAATGATATATCTATCATTTTTTTGTGTCTTAGCTTTTATGAAATATATAAAAAAGGACTTAACCCACTTATCGCTCAGAAGCATTCGTTTAAAGATTCTCATAAAATTCTCGATCAAACAAGGGTGTCATTTTTTTCTTTGTTCCGAATTATTTATATGTATTTATATCAGAATATTTCTTTTGTGATATTCCCATTGTTCTTATGAAATATTCTATATATGTTATTGGAATTCCTCATGATGAAAGTATTGCAATACCAAAAATTTGCAATGTCTGATTTGTATTTTGTGAACCCAAAAAATTAATTTTTAGATTCCGGCCGTTTTTAATTTCTCTATTATTCTCTCCGTTTCACCTAAATTGAAAATTTATTTTCGAAAAAATGTAGTTTCTCGATTAATCTGGTTTCTTGTGGTTATCTGTAATCCCTTGACCCAGGTTGAGTTGAGCATTCGTCTTCTCGAAGCGAGCATTGTACTAGAAATTCACTATCCGGTCCGAGCAAGTTCCTCATC